AAACGCACACGTCACACCGGAAGTGACGCGGTGTACAGGGCAGTGGTAATGTATTGTGTTCCACTTATGGAACGCAAACGATACCAGGATTGCATAGCTATGTCCACAGTGCGAAATAGCAGAGATATAAGTCCAGGGAGTGGATGATTATGAACAGCATCCATATGGTGAAGAACTTCTTGAGTATCAGTCTATATGGACTGCTTCTCCCATTTGGCCTGGGGTGTCAGCCAAATCTTAAAGTATCAGAAAGTAGTTCTGGACGTTTTTTTTTGGTTTTTTTTGTCCATGCACATCATATATTAAACAAAAAAAAAATAACTTAATATGTTTTAATAGCACATTGTAAGTTACTGGCAATGTTATTTAAATTCCAAGCTTGATGTGCTCAAAGTCTATACACTTTAAATTATAAAAGACCACTATAAACTATAAAGTGATCTTAGCAAAAAATGGAAAATACATTATGGGTCTAGAATTGCTAACTTGATATTGGTTGTGCAAAATTTTTGTAAAAAGTCCTTTTTCTCGGTTTATTTTATTTATTACTAACATTCTTTGCCAAACAGGAGAGTACTCTTAACCCCTTAAGACCGGAGGGCGTACTATTACGCCCTATTTTAGGCGGCTCTAAACGCCGCCGGGCATAATAGTACGCCCTCCGGTCTTTCCCTATTTACCCGGCTGCCGGGGCTCCACGCCTGTGGTCGCGGTTGGGGGGACTCCCAGGGAGCCCCCCGCGGCAGATCTTCCTCCTCCGGTCCCCCGCCCCTGGCCATGTGAGAGTGAGGTCCTAATGACAGGTGGTCCCCCTGCTGGCTGAAAATAAAAATAAATTAAAAAGTGTAAAAAAAAAAAATAATATATACTTAGATCATATATATATATATATATATATATATATATATATACACATGTACATACACACACGTACACTGTATAGGTGTATTTTACTATTAATATATATAATTATATATATATTAATATTAAATTACACGTAGACTGATACTGATTAAATATATATATAATTATTGTTATATATATATTTATAATATAAAAAAATTAAATATGTAAATACGTTAAAAAATAAAATAAAAAATAAAATATATATATAGATGTGTTATTTCGTTCTAACTGTATTGTGATATTAATATATATAAGAACGAAATAATATATATCTATATACATAAATATATACGTATATAAATATATATAAAAATATTTTAAAACATTATATATATATTTATATATATATATATATTCACATACGTGTGACCTCACTCTCACATATATTAATTCTACATATATATTTATGTAGTATTTTTACATAATTGGGTATCTTAATTAATTACAATTAGCGGGACCTGCCTGACAACCCATGCCGAAAGTAAAGGGAATTTAATTTGCTAGCACTATATTTAACCCTATAACTTTCCAAGACACCATAAAACATGTACATGGGGGGTACTGTTCTACTCGGGAGACTTCGCTGAACACAAATATTAGTGTTTCAAATTAGTAAAATGTATTACAACGATGATATCGCCAGTAAAAGTGAAGTTTTTTGCATTTTACACGCACAAATAGCACTTACACGGACGATAATATTGCTGCGATACTTTTTACTGTTTTGAAACACAAATATTTGTGTTCAGCGAAGTCTCCCGAGTACAACAGTACCCCTCATGTACAGGTTTTATGGTGTTTTCAAAAAGTTACAGCGTCAAATACAAGGCTTATGTTTCATTTTTTTTCACATTAAAATTTGCCAGATTGGGTACGTTGCCTTTGAGACCCTATGGTAGCCCAAGAATGAAAATGACCCCTATGATGGCATACTATTTGCAATAGTAGACAACCCAAGGTATTGCAAACGGGGTATGTCCAGTCTTTTTTTAGTAGCCACTTAGTCACAAACACTGGGCAAAATTGGCATTTTTTGCATTTTTCACACACAAACAAATACTAACGCTAACTTTGGCCAGTGTTTGTGACCAAATGGCTACTAAAAAAGACTGGACATACCCCATTTGCAATACCTTGGGTTGTCTACTATTGCAAATGGTATGCCATTATGGGTGTAAATTTCTTTCCTGGGCTACTATAAAGTCCCAAAGGCAACGTAACCAATCTGGCGAATTTCAATTTCAAATGTAACGTGCTATATTTGACCCTGTAACTTCCCAAAACGCCATAAAACCTGTACATAGGGGGTACTGTTTTACACGTGAGACTTTACTGAATACAAATATGTGTATTTTATTGCAGTAAAAGCAAACCGTATTATGGCATTGACAGTTAAACTGTCAGGTAGAACTAAAAAAATCCCCCCAAAAAAATCGTATTTTTTTTCACAAATAAATTGTTTCATAGCTAAATATTTGATATTAAATGAAAGCCCTGTTTCCCCTGAATAAAATGATATATAATAAGGGTGGGTGTATTTAATATGAAAGAGGTGAATTACGGTTGGACAGACATGTAGCGCAAATGCCAGGTTTTGTTTACATTTTGTTTCGTTCACAACGTGTACATTTGGCTCCGTCCTTAAGGGGTAAACAGAATGTTTCTGTTGGATGCCTATTGTGCATCCAGGGCATTATGGGACAGCAGAAAAGATTAAGTACATTTGAGGCAAGTAAGCTTTTTTTACTTACCGCTGTTGGTCTAATAACACCTGTAAATGCTGAAATAGAATATACTAAGATGAAGAACCTAGGAACGGTCACCTTTGTAAAAGTGACTGTTTCTTGATCAATAAAATTGGATGATAAAACTAACTGAAAATACCAATTTGTGTTTCTATAAAACATAAATCTTTACTAAAGATGTACTTCTCTTCATGTCAAAACTACAGGAGAACATTAAAAGATTCCCAGACTCCCTGGGACTGTTTTGCTAGGCTATTAACGATCAAGTATTTCATAACAATAACTATGAAAATCTTAGCGCAATATAAAAACATACCATAGTCACATCGTCCCATCATCCCATCAAAGAAAAATACCACAGGGCTAGCAATTAAACCATGAGCTGGGCAGCAAGCGGTTGATGCACTAACTGGCAACAACTGTCATTTTAATGCGGCATGAGTGCTTGCTAGCTGTGACCCCTGCCTACAATGATTATGGCATATTGTGTGTTGGATGCATATTCACATACCAGGACCTGAAGAATGTTACTATGCTGGCTGCTTAGGCAGCAGAAAGGAGTCCGCTAGCTGGTGCACAGCTCTCTTGCTTCTCCACTACTAGACATCAGGGGTTGCAGTAGCTTCATCCCAAATTACTGGCAGGTCAACCTAGTGTGAATGTTTGCCAGGCTACCTGCCTATCAAGCAGGCCATCCCACTTAGGACAGAACATGCAGAGAGCATTGTTTAAGTTCTCTCTGCATGGTCCAAAAATTCTGAATGCAGTGTGAGCAGGTTGGGGAATGTTCCCAAAAGTTGGACACCGGGGAACAAAGTCAGGACGGCAGGACAGGACCCGAAAATCGTAACTGTTCTGATGGAGTCGGGATGTTTGGGAGGCATATTGTGTGGATATGTGTGCTTGATGGTACTTCTGTGTACGTGAATTTTTTTAAGGTTATGTGTCTGCATGTATGTAAGCGAAAGTGTGGTGTGTCATTTATGTGAATGTGTGCCTGTATGTAATGAGTGCATTGCTTGGTGATTCCTAGTTGTGCGTGCATGTGTGTTAGTTAGAGCTCTAAAATATTCAAGTGGAAAGAGGGTGCATTTTCTTGACTGGGCCTAGGGCAGTCAAAAACCTAAATGTATCAATACTAGTAACAATGTATGGCACAGGTTACATGTAAAATGATGACGTTTAGATGCCTCCCTGATTATTAGCTTTACTACACGTAGAGTTTATTATTTTGTTCAGATTTCGAAAGGTAAAATACAGGAACGAAGCAAATGTTTTGCTGAATTTCTTTAAGAGCCTGTCAGGGTTTTTGTTAGATGTGGACTATTAATACATTGCTGTGTATAAACACACCTGCACGTACACCTAATTGTGCTGTATAAAACCTCAGTTTGCTGTTAACATTAAGACCCTCATTTGTTATAAAACCTGAGATTAATGATTTGTTGCTTTTGTTTGCCTGCTGAGTGTAAAAAGCAATTACAGCAAATAGAGATAAAGAAATGTAAAGCTATGTAGGTGAGTGCGCTTCATATATATATATATATATATATTATTATTTTTTAATCTGTGTATAATATATGTGTGTTTGTGTGTTTTGTATATACTGTATGTTAGCAGCTGTTTATTTTATTATAAATAGAGTATTTGTCCATGATGTAGAAGGAATAAACATGCATCCTAAATGTAAGAGATCTGGGAGAATAGTCTCAGTTTGGGATATGTGTCTAGTAATTCAGGTTATTTGTCAAGTATTTGGTTTTGGGAAATATCAATTTAAAGTGAAACATGCATTTCTAATTTTAGAATTACTTCCTAGCTATTTACATTTAGGATATGGTACTTTCCTCTCATGCCTCGCAGTGACCTGCGACTGAGATTATAATTACTGATGATCTCTGCCTGTCCAATGGTTCTCCATAGTGTCATTGGTGGTGGAGGAGTTTACTGTGCTTGGGTGGCAATCACTGCAATGAGCCAATCAGCATCTCCTCCTAGAGAAGCATTATACCAATGCATCTCTATTTTTTAAGTATTTGCGGTTTTCATGCTGAGCGCGAGGATACCTAACGATGGTCCTACAAATTTAGCAGGAATGGAATAAAAGTACCACCTCTAGTTGCTGTCCATGGGAGCTGAAATACTTAACGTGTTAACTGCATGCTTCTTTTATACAGTTAGTCGTCAATATGGGTGAAATCATCTGTAGTTCCTGCAGTATCGATGCAGTGTCATTTTCAATAGGTTGCTTCATTTTGTCTCTGAACAAAGACTGTGACTTTTTTATTCTTTTGTACTGGTGTCTCATTTGACATGGTGCACCTGCTCAAAAGTGACAGAAATATGACACGAAGGCCTTGGCCTATTTATCCCGGTTATCTTTAAACCAGTACCCTTTCATGGTTTCACAAGCCCTGAAGTATGTCATATTGCTGATCATTGATTAGCCATTCCACACTCAAATACGTTCTCAAGCTTTGTCCAATCCTTGCATCCTGTCTCAGACCCGGGTTTGTTCCTGACACTTTGGCTTATCATGTATCCAGTGTACCACACCTTTTAAATTCTATAGAGGACTACCATGGCTTGCACTGTGGTAGGCAGAAATGGGAACTATCAGAACTGTGCAAAGTGTTAGGCCTGGCTACTCTAAGAACAACAGAAGGTAAGCGCTAATTTACAAACACTGTCGGTGGGTAGCAACCTTAACCCCGCAAAAAGAAAGAAATCGTACAAAGACAGAAAAGGCTGCGCCAATAAGGTAAAAGACTCACTAATGTAGCAGGATAAAATAGGGTGTAATCCTCAGGAGTTGATAGTTTAAAATAAATAAGTCTCACTGCTATAACAGGATAATATTGGGGTGTAATCCTCAGGAGTTGATCCGTCCGGATGGTTAAAATATCCGTATGTGTGGAGAGACAAAAGGGAGATAAAAAAACAACCAATAGTGCAATACGCCAAGATCCAGGGATAAGTATTATAGCAAAAGCAGGTAGTAGGCTCACATTCACAAGGGTCGTTGGGTCACCCCCCAGGCTGAAGAGGTTAAATTCTTACCTTTCTCCAGCGCTGGGGACTCTCCTCCCTCTTCCGACATAATCCGCTGAATGCGCATGCGCGTCAAGAGCCGCACGTGCATTCAACCAGTCCACAGGAAAGCATTTCTCAATGCTTTTCTATGGACGTTGGCGTCTTCTCACTGTGAAAATCACAGTGAGAAGCGCCTCTAGCGGCTGTCAACGAGACTGCCTCTAGAGGCTGGATTAACCCTAATGTAAACATAGCAGTTTCTCTGAAACAGCTATGTTTACAGCTGCAGTGTTAACACTAGCAGGACCTGGCACCCAGACCACTTCATTGAGCTGAAGTGGTATGGGTGCCTATAGTGGTCCTTTAATGTAGTGTTTCTGAGACATATAGCTTGTCCCAGCAGGCTGAGCATTGTTAATGCTTCCTTTTCAGGGATACTGCAGTGTTTATATCGCTGCCTAAGTCCACCTTTAGTGGCGGTCTGTCACTCGGAGATGCACTAAAAGGATCCTGGACAAGGTCCTACTTACCTTGACTTAATGCATATCTATGATTAGCTGCAAATTGACAAAGCTCAATGATTTGCCACACGTGCACTACCTGCCTTGCTGATATCATTAACATTAACTATCTCACCCATGGAAGTGGCACGAAGACCAACATGCCGTGGTATAGAAGTTAAGTATATTGCTTTATTTATTTTTATTTAAAGCTTGCTCGGGTGTGGAGAAGTGTATATCTAAATAGTGGACAAAACACCATTACGTTAACCCCTTAAGGACCTCGGGCATGCTATGCCGTCCTTAGGTGTATATATTTATGTAATAATTTAACATAATTAGGTCATTTTATTAGAAATAGCGGGACCTGTCTGACAACCCATGCCGAAAGTAAAGGGAATTTAATTTGCTAGCACTATATTTAACCCTATAACTTTCCAAGACACCATAAAACATGTACATGGGGGGTACTGTCTCAGAAGACTTTGCTGAACACAAATACTAGTGTTTCAAAACAGTAAAATGTATTACAACGATGATATAGTCAGTGAAAGTGACTTTTTTTTTTGCATTTTTCATACACAAATGGCACTTACACGGACAATATAATTGTTGTGATACGTTTTACTGCTTTGAAAAACTAATATTTGTGTTCAGCGAAGTCTCCTGAGTGTAACAGTACCCCTTATGTACAGGTTTTATGGTGTTTTCAAAAGTTACAGAGTCAAATATAAGGCTTGCATTTAATTTTTTTTCACATTGAAATTCGCCATATTGGTTACATTGCCTTTGAGACCGTATGGTAGCCCCGGAATGAAAATTACCCCTATGACGGCATACCATTTGCAATAGTAGTCAACCCAAGGTATTGCAAATGGGGTATGTCCAGTCTTTTTTCGTATCCACTTATTCACAAGCACTGGCCAAAATTGGCGTTCAAATTAGTTTTTTGCATTTTTCACACACAAACAAATATGAACACTAACTTTGGCCAGTGTTTGTGACCAAGTGGCTACTAAAAAAGACTGGACATAACCCATTTGCAATACCTTGGGTTGTCTACTTTTGCAAATGGTATGCCATAATGGGGGTAATTCTCATACCTGGGCTACCATACGGTTTTTAAAGGCAACGTAACCAATTTGGCGAATTTTAATGTGAAAAACTGAAACATGTAACATGCTATATATGACCCTGTAACTTCCCAAAACACCTTAAAACCTGTACATAGGGTGTACTGTTCTACACATGAGACATCACTGAATACAAATATGTGTATTTTATTGCATAATAGGAAACAGTATTATGACATTCACAGTTAGAATGTCATGTAGAACTAAAAAAAGTTTTAAAATTCTTATTTTATCCCTTTTAAAAAAACATTTTATTCATATTAAGTTATGTTTCATACCTAAATATTTGATGTTAAATGAAAGCCCTGTTTCCCCTGAATAAAATGAAATATAATAAGTATGGGTGCACATAATATGAAAGAGGTGAATTACGCCTGAACAGATAAATCGCACAAATTCAAGTTTTTGTTTGTTTTGTTGTGATCACAACGTGTACATTTGGCTCAGTCCTTAACCCCTTAAGGACACATGACATGTGTGACATGTCATGATTCCCTTTTATTCCAGAAGTTTGGTTCTTAAGGGGTTAAAGGGTTAAGATAGTAGAAGTCCATGTTTTATTCCTTTAAATTCCTGTTGTAGTGAAAAGATCTTTGTTATAATTGATAGTCCAAGTTGTTAATCACAGACACGTGCTACACTTCAATCTGAACTCATCTGAAAACTTTTCATTCCCCTCCTTTCTGTTTAAATGATACTGTTTTGGAGTGGTTTGACAAAAGCCATGGTTTTCCTGGGCACCCACAGCCCAGTCCCTCTCCAGAAGCATTAATAAACCAACCACATATCTTTTAGCCTGTCACTGCTATCCTGGCTGGGCAAAATTGGCATACATAATGAGATAGTGTTATTCCCTGGTAACATGTGACTGCTGAAGTTTGGGCTATGAGTGATGGGGAGAACTGTTTTGTCAAACTGCTTGTTAGACAAGCAGTAGTAAATAGTATGGCTCATTTAGGAAATATACATCTTATACGTATTAGGTTTTTGAGGAATAAAAAGAAACATTCGGTACTCAATAAATGTTTGTATTTTATAATAATAATAAAAGAAACCATTAGGTTCAATTAAATTTGCTGTTCCTTATGAGAGGAGCTTTTATCAGAGTTATCTTTATCTTGGTTTATTTTGATTTTTCTTTATGGGCTTCTTAATACCCACAAGCATTATGCAGATGTTGAGAAATCTAAATTATAATAATTATACAAACTATCTCCCTACCCCTCCCTTATGCCTAACAAATGTTTATCCAATAAATCCTCGAGAGGTTTATTGATTGCTGATGAAAATGAAGCAATTTTCTCCACAGATAGATGGAAACACGTATATGCATAGCTGAGTTTTTAACCTTCAATTTGTCGAAGCCTAGTTATTACTTACAAAAGGTCGATTCCCCCCCTTTATATACTTGCAGAATGTAAATTTTCTCTAAATTTAAGAAATAACACGCTTTGAGATTGCCTCCCAGACAATACAAATGGACCATATATCTTTTCTAAGTAAGCATCCCCTCTCTTGGTGCTGTGTATGTGTCCATTTTAGTTATATATCCACTGAGCTTTGATTTAGAAACCTAATTTAATCAAACAGCAATGTTGCGTAAGGTTGCAATTTGCCACATTTCACTAGAAAAGTAACAACTAGATGCAATTCTAATTAAACAAATAAATTAAAGAATGGGTTGTATTTAATATCCTGGATGGGAGATGAAAAATAAATATTTTCTTTGTTGAAACTTTTTTTTAAAAAGAACAAAACAGTGTGTATTTTTAGTTTTCTTTGCACGGATAGACCAAATCAGTGATTATTAAACTGTACATGCGTGACCTATTTTTCTATGATCAGCCAGTGCTGCCATTGATGGTCATCTGACACTTTCAGTCTGAGTGCTGTTGAAAGGAAAGTGGGCACCTGTGGAAAGCAGGTAAGTGTCAAACCATTCACAAATGTTTGATCTCACCTGAGGGGCAAAGTCTTGTGTGCTGTGGTAGTTATGGTGCCTAGATTACCCATTTTGTCTATTTTAGTTAACCATGTCGATACCAGACTGCTCATGTCTAGCTGCTTACTCTTGCCACCTTCAGATTGTCCATTGAAAACCTCATTCCTTTTTATATATATAAATATATATTTATATATATATATATTTGATGTCCTGATGAAAGTTTGCTGATGTAAACTGAAACGTAGACAAGTTCTATGGATTAAGACCTTTTTCGTTTTTTTACTCATTGAGTGCTATCTTCATTTGTCAGATTGTATCTTTGTGCAGCTGAGCACCGGGCATTTAACCAAGAGGAAAGCAGGAGTGCAAAACACCAACAAATTGTGTGTGTGTGTGTGTGTGTGTGTGTATGTATGTGTGTATATATATATAATATACAATCTTCAAACTAATCCTTATTGAATCATTTTTAATGATGCCCATCTCTCCCTCGGTTGAAACAACTTTTGAGGCACAGATGCAATCACAGTAAAATGGGAACTTTTGCATAAAAGACCCTATAACATTATTTATTTACTTAGAAATTTAGTTTTCCTCTTTTTTTTAATTTTATTTAAAAAAACAAAAAAAAAAACAATTAAAAAAAAAACTTTAAGCTAGCTCTGTTTGATCTCACAATGGCAGCCGCTCTTCTGAGCTCATTACTGATGTTCTCAGGTCATTACAGTACTTCTCATAGTGAAGCATTGGGGTCCTATATAGCATGTCTTCATGAGGAAGTGCTCATTTTAACAGTCCCTAATGACATCCTTTGCAAGAAATTGCAACATTTACATTTGTCGGTAACGTGGTGTTTACGTTCCATGCATAGACTGTTCCTGCCGTCTGACAATGCATTTCCATGTATTGGTTCTAGTGTTTATTGTATCCCTTTAAGAGCGGTACAATTTGAACATTTA